TGAGACAAGGTCTCACACCATAGCCCAGGCAGATTTTGAATCTGGGATCCTCCTGCCTCTGTCTCCCAGCTAGCTGGGGTTACATGCCTGTGACAGAAGGCCTTTTTGGTTATGCCATTTAGTGTGTGTGAAATGATTTCTCAGTGTGGTTTGATTTGCATCTCCATAATGATTAATGATGTTGAGAATTTTGCTTACTGGACATGTGTATATTATCTTTGGAGAGATGCCTGCTCAGATCTTTTGCTCATTTTATTTTGATAGAGCTCGTGTTAGTGTAAGGAGGACTGACATTCATAAATACATATGAAACAACTGCACGTGTGCTGTGAAGGGTAGGTAGACAGTGCTGTTTAAAGCTATGGTACAGGCAAGTTGGTAGAATCAGCAGGTGAGGGAGTCGGGCAGGTTCCCTCAGAAGTGGCGGCTGAACTGAGACCAGAAGGGAGCAAAGGAGTTTGCTAAGTGCTGGGTATTGTGGCTAGATAAGAACACCTTGAGTTTAGGCAGAGGCACAGGCTATCTGGAATTAAAACGGGAGGGCTGAGATGGCCCCCTTTCTTGCCTAGAATGTTTCCATGTCTCACCTGTAACTTTTCTCATCCAGGAGAACTTGCTTGAGGCTGATGCTCTTGTTCACCCCACTCAGTCATCAAGAGGACATTTGAGAATGTGCAGAGCTGTTCTTATTTTATTTTATTATTGTTATTTTTTTGTCTTTTTGACACAGGGTCTCCCTGTAGCCCCAGCTGTCCTGGAACTCACTATGTAGACCTGGCTGGCCTTGAACTCACAGAGATCTGCCTGCCTCTGCCTCCTGAGTGCTGGGATTAAAGGCATGTGCCACCACACCTGGCTATTTTATTTTTTTTAATGTTGCTGAATTATTATTATTATTATTATTATTTGTATTTTTTGAGACAGGGTCTCCCTGTAGCCCCAGCTGTCCTGGAACTCATTATGTAGACCAGGCTGGCCTTGAACTCACAGATAACCGCATGCCTCCACCTCCCGAGTGCTGGGATTAAAGGCGTGCGCCACCACACCCAGCGGCTATTTTATTTTTAAAGACAGGGTGTCCCTATAGCTCTAGCTAGCATGGAACTTACTATGTAGATCAGGCTAACCTCAATCTCACATAGATCTGCCTGCCTCTGAGTCCCCTGAGTGCTGGGACTAAAGGCATGTGCTACCATGCCCAGCTATTTTACTTTGTTGTGTGACAATGACCAGGGGACATCACTGCATTTATTGAGAGAGATCCATGGTACTGTGGTTTGGATATGGTTTGAGTGTATCTGAAGGTTCATGTATTAAAACTTAATTCCTGGGGCTGGAGAGATGGCTCAGCGGTTAAGAACACTGACTGTTCTTGCAGAAGACCCAGGTTCAAATCCCAGCACCCACATGGCAGCTAACAGCTGTCCGTAACTCCAGTTCCAAGGGATCCGACAGCCGCCTCTTCTGGCCTCTGTGGGCATTGCATGACAAGGGTGCACTTACTTACATGCAGGCAATACACACATACACATAAAATAAAAATAATAAATATTAAAAAAAACTCAGTTCCTGTAGAGTATAATCCCAAAAGAACTTAATAAAATTGCCACTGCATAAGTACATCCATCATTCTATTATTTTTATGGGTTTTTTTTTTCTGTCTTTTTGAGACAGGGTCTCCCTGCCTGCCTCTGCCTCCCGAGTGCTGGGACTAAAGGTGTATACCACCACGCCTGGCTTGTATTGATCAGTATAGTTTTTCCCACTTGATTATTTGCCTTCTAAGTATTTTGTGATTATATCTGCCAGTATATACACAGATCACCCAGTAATTATCTCTTAATTTCCATTCAAGGAGCATCACTTATCATCTTATCTTTGCTTCCAAATAAAGTGAAGTAATTAAAAAAAAAACTTCATTCCTGTTGTATGTATTTGTGACATTTTGATTATCCATTCATCCAGCAGTAGATACTTGGGTTGCTTCTGCATTTTGGCTGTTGTGAATAATGCTGATTTAGACAGATACCTCTTTAAGACTCTGTATATTAGTCTACTTTTAATTAGTATAATGAAATACCTGAAGCTGGGTAACTTCATAAAGAAAAGAGGTTTAGTCAGGCGTGGTGGCGCACCACTTTAATCCCAGCACTTGGGAGGCAGAGGCAGGTGGATCTCTGTGAGTTCGAGGCCAGCCTGGTCTACATAGTGAGTTCCAGGACAGCTGAGGCTACAGGGAGACCCTGTCTCAAAAAGACCAAAAAAAAAAAAAGTTTATTTGGGTTTAAGGCTCCAATTAGATCATGCCTGTTTCAGAGGTCATGCTATATATAAAGGTTTTTTTTCTAGGAGCTGTACCATTTTTAGATTTCTGCCAACAGTATACAATGGCTCTAGTTCCTTCACATCCTCTCCTACACTTTTTTTTTCTTCCAGCACTGAGGAGTGAGCCCAAGACCTGTTCACATGGAGCAAATACTCTCTTACTATATCCCTAATCCTTATTTTTTTCAGGCAGGGTCAAATTGATTTTATATATTCTGTTTTGGGGAATGAAATGTTTGTAAACTGGTACTATTTATTACTTAGTTTGTTTGAGAGAGGGTCTCCCTGTAGCTCCAGCTGGCCTGGAACTTACTACATAGACATATGGCCTTGATATCACAGAGATCTGCCTGCCTCTGCCTCCTGAGTGCTGGGATTAAAGGCATGTGCTATACACAGGTGTAATATTTATTTTTTAAATGTTTGATAGGTTTCATCAATGAAGCCATCTGGGTTTGGGCTACTCTTTGTGGTAGTTTTTTTTTAAATTGCTAATTCAGTGTGGATACAAACATTTGAAGTATTTAGATTTTTCCAATAGCATTTGACTTCTTAGAGATTATATTGGTGTGTGTGTGTGTGTGTGTGTGTGTGTGCATGTGCAAGTCAGATATTAGCCTCTGGTGGTGTTCCTCAGGCGTCATCCACCTTGCTTTTGGAGACAGGGTCCCTTATTGGCCTGGAGCTTACCAACTAAGTTAGGACAGCTGCCAGCAAGTCCCAGGGTTCACCTGTCTGTCTCCCCAGGGCATGGATTATAAATGCATCCTACCATACCTAACTTATTTTACATGGGTTCTGGGGATCAAACTTAAGTCCTTATATTTATGAAGAAGTCTCTTTATTGACTAAGCCATCTCCCAACCCAATATTAAAATTTGAAAGAGTATGAGCTGTGGAAATAGATAGACCTAGATTCAGATTCCATCCCTGGAGCTTCTGCTTGGATCTGTGAATCTGAGTCCCTGCCTACCAATTACAGAGGACACTAATGCAGTGTTGGAAGATAGAAATGGGCCAGGAAGAGATACAGAGACCTTAGGGTTCGGCCCCAGTGTTAAGCTCAGGGTAACTTTAAAGGTGATGCTGCAGCTTCTTTCTCCTCTACATTTTGGCAACAGGGCTCTGTGCCATTCCTGGTCAGTGCCACCTCTGGCACCACCGTGCTAGGGGCCTTTGACCCCCTGGATGCTGTTGCTGATGTGTGCCAGCGTCATGGACTGTGGTTACATGTGGATGTGAGTGAGACTTGGGTCTGGGGGAGGGGGTAAGGTGGGCTACCCTGAGGCCAAGGCCCATGCTGTTCCTCCTGCTCCACAGGCCGCCTGGGGTGGGAGCGTCCTGCTGTCTCGGACACACAGGCATCTCCTGGATGGGATCCAGAGGTGCATAAAGCCTCCTTCCAGAATCCTGCCCTTCAAATCCTTGATCCTCAGAATAGTCACAAACTATGGAGCCTAGGGTGGGGTAGGAGAAGGGCTGTGAGGGATGGAATCTGGAAATCTGGAAAGATGATGTAGGACTGGGGGAAGGATTTGGGATTCTTCCTTGCTGCTGGGGAAGGGGTAGACCCTCCACTGAGTGTCTAGAAAGGAGAGGAAAGCTCTGCTGGACAGCTGGAGAAGCCACTGACCCAGCTTTGCTCTGTTTCTCTCAGGGCTGACTCTGTGGCCTGGAACCCTCACAAGCTTCTCGCCACAGGCCTGCAGTGCTCTGCTCTTCTTCTCCAGGACACCTCGGTGGGTTTGCCCAGGCCCTGGCCCCCAGCTCTAGTTCCTTGTTCTCTAGAACCTCAACGTCTCTATCCTACTTAGAGGGATCCAGGCTTTCATGTTCCCTTATCCCTCCCATTTGAAGCCTAGTCTTTATGTCCACCCTAACCCTGTGTGGCGTTCCCACACACCCAGTGGCTTTTTCATATGATATAGTTTCCAGTTTGTAGTTGTGATCAGAGGGACTTGGGCAGAATTTTGGAAGAGCTCTGGTATTGAGAGAGGCTCAGAAAGAGGGGTCTAGGTTGGCTGGCAGTCATCCTCAGGCTGCCTAGCTCCAGGGAGAGCAAAGGGCAGGCCCAGCTGAGACTTCTTCAGTGTAGTCCTCCGGGAAGGCCTGCTCTGACACCTCCTTTCCCACACAGGATCTCCTTAAGCGTTGCCATGGGTCCCAGGCCAGCTACCTCTTCCAGCAGGACAAATTCTACGATGTGGCTCTGGACACTGGAGACAAGGTGGTACAGTGCGGCCGCCGTGTGGACTGTCTGAAGCTGTGGCTCATGTGGAAGGCCCAGGGTGGGCAAGGCCTGGAGCAGCGCATCGACCAGGCCTTTGCCCTCACCCGGTAAGCTTGGAAGGCCCAGGGTGGGCAAGGCCTGGAGCAGCGCATCGACCAGGCCTTTGCCCTCACCCGGTAAGCTTGGAAGGCCCAGGGTGGGCAAGGCCTGGAGCAGCGCATCGACCAGGCCTTTGCCCTCACCCGGTAAGCTTGGAAGGCCCAGGGTGGGCAAGGCCTGGAGCAGCGCATCGACCAGGCCTTTGCCCTCACCCGGTAAGCTTGGAAGGCCCAGGGTGGGCAAGGCCTGGAGCAGCGCATCGACCAGGCCTTTGCCCTCACCCGGTAAGCTTGGAAGGCCCAGGGTGGGCAAGGCCTGGAGCAGCGCATCGACCAGGCCTTTGCCCTCACCCGGTAAGCTTGGAAGGCCCAGGGTGGGCAAGGCCTGGAGCAGCGCATCGACCAGGCCTTTGCCCTCACCCGGTAAGCTTGGAAGGCCCAGGTCCCCTCGTCTTCTGCTCTGTTTCCTTCCCCTTGATACAACTGTGGCTCTCTTCTGTGTCCCCTGCGTCTGTCTGTCCTCCACCTGTCATTTCTCACCCTCTGTTCTCAGTTACCTGGTGGAAGAGATAAAGAAGCGAGAAGGGTTTGAGTTGGTCATGGAGGTAGGACCCCGTGCTCTTTTGCATTCCTCCCCGACCCCTGGCCTATTCAAGCTTCATAGAGGAAGCAGAGCCTAGAAAGGGAAACATCTCCTTTCTCAGCTCATACCTTCCCCATCCTTCCCGTCAGCCCGAGTTTGTCAACGTGTGCTTCTGGTTCGTGCCCCCTAGCCTGCGGGGGAAGGAGAAGAGTCCAGATTACAGCGAAAGGCTGTCGCGGGTAGGCTTTGCCGCCTGGCTTTGGATAACCCAATTCAGGGAACTAAGCAGCTGGTATGTTTCTGCCCTCTGCTGGCTGTATCTGGGATAGCAGGCCCCCACGCCAGTGTCTCATTCCTGAGATGGCAAGTGCAAAAAGACCTGTGGGGTGGGGATGGGCAGCAAGACGTGCTTCAAGGCAGTAAGAAGGAGACAGAAGGGGGTCACCAGAGGAAGTCAGCCGTATGTGGCCCAGGACAGATCATGAAAAACTTGGTCACTGATGCTGGAGACAGGACAACCCAGAAAGGCCAGTCCAGACAATCCTAGAGGCGAGGAGCTATATCATGTCCTTGTCCCTAAGATGGGTTGGCACAGGATGCCTCCATGCCCCTGCCTTCATGGGCTGTGACTGTAGAAAAGAAGAGTTACCCATTTCTGTGTGTGTTCAAGGAGGTTTTGTAAGTTACTTCTAAATCACATGGCACCGATCAAGTATGACACTAAGAGAAGGGAGAAGGTTTTGAGGATGAAGGCTTGAGACTCTGGTGGAGCTGGGAGTCACAGAAAAGTTTGCTGGAAGTTGTCCCTGGCTCCAGCCTTCTTGGAGAGGAGAAATGAATGCAGTAGAAAGCCAAGCAGGTTGGATGTGGTGGGTGGTCCAGGCAGCAGAGTGGTCCAGTGCTGAGGCTCCCTGAGTGCAGGCTGCAGCAGCATCCCCTCCACTGCCCACAGGTGGCACCTGCACTCAAGGAGCGCATGGTGAAGGAGGGCTCCATGATGATTGGCTACCAGCCCCACGGCACCCGGGCCAACTTCTTCCGCGTGGTGGTGGCCAACCCTACACTGGCCCAGGTGGATCTAGACTTCCTCCTGGATGAGCTGGAGCGGCTGGGCCAGGACCTGTGAGCTTCTCCTCTTCAGCTGTACCCAGTCTTGGCATTGCCTTCTGGGTTCTCAAAAGTAACCTTTCTAGGGAACAGAGGTCTCACCGTGGCTATGCTTTGACCCACTAATGCTCTTACCTAATATATGCTGTTAGGAGAATGTTTAAATACACTACAGTATATTCTTGTGAAATATTCTTTCATTAAAATTATGTTTACAAAGAATTTTTATCAATATGGGGAAAATGTACCGAAAAAGCTGAATATGAGTTTATATATAGTGATACCTGAATTATGTTCCAAAATACATAGGAAAAAATATAAGAAAAGGCTGATGAATGACAGTGCGCAAAGGCTAGCAGTTTTCCCTGGGCCGGGATAATAGTTTCTAAGTCTAAAGTGTCGTACCTTTTGCGCTCACCCCCTTTATTATGTAATGAGCTTTACGTACTTAGGAAATAGGAAAATAAAGCTAAAATTTCAGTTATATTTTGCTCTGTTTTAAAGTTTGTTAGCTTCTAACTAAATAATGGAGACCTGAAGCAAGCAAGCAAACAGAAAGGTAAGGTAAGTAATAGAGGAATGAGTTTTTCCTCAGAATCTTCAGTGGGATCTAGAGTGATGGTGCACACCTTTAATCTTAGCACTTGGGAGGCAGAGAGGTCTGTGAATTTCAGATCAGCCTGGTCTACAAAGCCAAATTTCCAGGCCAGCCAGGGCTACATAGTGAGACCCTGTCTCTAAAATAAAATAAAATACAAACACAAAAATCTAACCGAAACATGGGTGTAGTGGTGCATCCGTATAATCCCAGCACTCAGGAGGTGGAGGTTAGAGGGTCAGGAACTCAAAACCACCTTCAGCACCATGTCAGGTTCAAGACCAGGTTGAGATATAGAGGACCCTGCCAGAAAAAAACTTCTGTAATTTAGGTTTTTTTTTTTGGGGGGGGGAGTCTCTGTGATTACTGCTGCTTTACATAAAACATCCACTTCAAGGCTGAGATGCAGCTCAGTGGTACAGTGCTTGCCTACTATGCAGGACGCCCTGGGTTTGATCTCCAGCACTGCACTGTCAAGTTCCTGCCAAACGACATTGAAACCTCACGTTAACCTCACTTAACATTTAAAATTCTGGGTAGTATTTCTTCTCAGTTACTTTTTGGGAAAGAGGAATTTAGCTACAGAAGTCAAGTGCCAGAAATTTTTGTTATTCCAATCCCTAAAATCATTTTATGAAAACAGTAATGTAGTCCTGTAAAAGTCACCAAGAGTCACTTTGAAAGCCAAACAGACTCTGCAAACCACAGCAAAACACTATCCCATTCTCAGGCTGTAACTACAGCTCTAAGGGATTCAACACCCTCTTCTGTGCTCTGGCCTCTGTGAAGAGTTGCACTCAGTGTGCGTATAGCCCCCACAGATACAAACACACACACATAATTAAAAATACATCTTTAAGGGGCTGGAGAGATGGCTCAGCAGCACCGCAACTGCTCTTGCAGAGGACCCGGGTTGGATTCCCAGCACCCACGTGGCAGCTACACCATCCTTAACTCCAGTTCCAGGGGACTCTGAAGCCCTCTTCTGACCACCGCGGCATTGCACGACACGGGTGCACTCATATACATGCAGTCAATATACTCATAAATACAAAATTTAAAAAAAATCTTTAAAAATAAAACTACAGGGGACTGGAGAGCTGGCTCAGTGGTAAGAGCACTATCTGCTCTTCCAGAGGATGGGAGTTCAGTTCCTGGCACCCATGTGGTGGCTAACAACCATCCATAACTCCAATTCTAGGGGATCCAGTTCTGGCCTCCACAGACATTATTATACACAGTGGTGCACTTACATACATGCAGACAAAACACTCATACACATAAAAATAAATTTAAAAAATAGAGGGCATGGTGGCGCACGCCTTTAATCCCAGCACTTGGGAGGCAGAGGCAGGCGGATCTCTGTGAGTTCAAGGCCAGCCTGGTCTACATAGTGAGTTCCAGGACAGCTGGGGCTACAGGGAGACCCTGTCTCAAAAAGACAAAAAATAAAATTAAAAAAAAAAAAGAGGACTGGAGAGATGACTTGGGTTAAGAGCACTTGTTCTTGCAGAGGACCCAGGTTCAATTACCAGCATCCACATGGCACCTAGCAACTGTCTGTGACTTCATTCCCAGGGGTTACAATGCCCTCTTCTGGCTTCTGTGGGCACTGCATGCAAATGATGCTTTTAACATCATGCAGGCAAAACACTCATACACAAAATAATAAAATATTGGTAAATAAATAAATTGTACTTGTACCTCCCATTTGTGCATAGGTATTTGATATACTCTTAGTTATATATTTAAAATTTATATTCTTATTTTTATTATTGTATGATGTGTGTAAGTGGATGTATGTGTGTGCCATAGCATACATGTGAAGGTCAGAGGACAAATTTTTTTTTTTTTTTGTCTTTTTGAGACAGGGTCTCCCTGTAACCCTAGCTGGCCTGGAATTTGCTATGTAGACCAGGCTGGACTTGATCTCACAGAGATCACTTTCCTCTGCCTCCAGAGTGTTGGGATTAAAGGCATGCACCACCTTATCTTTTGGGAGTTGGCTTTCTCCTTTCATATGAATTCTGATCATCAGGCTTGTGTGGCAAGTGTTTTTACCCGCTGAGCCATGTTGCCAGCCATAAAAATATGTAGTTACATATTTTTAGTTCGTTTCACCCAACTAGAATGTAAATCTCTCAGCAGAGATTTTTTTTTTAAACTGATCCTTCCCCAAGTGGGGGTGTCCGATGCTAGGTAATACTACTCTGAATGGTTAATGAGCTCTAGATCTGGGTGACCTGCTCTCAGTCATACAACTTCTAAGTGGAATATGAATCAGAAACTAAACTTGGTCCAGCTCTGGGTTGGTCCACTTTACGTCTGAACATAAGGGAGGCTCCAAATTGAGGTTTCTGCTATGCTTCGTGACCCAAAACCATGCCCAACTAAAGATGAGCTCAGGTTTGGTAATGCAGCGCGCTCCCGCCCCTCCCCCCAACACAAGGCTGTTGTGGCTCTGCTGCACCACTTTCCTCTGAGCAGCATTCAGGGTCCTGCCCCTCCTGTCAGTGAAGTCCATAGCCATGTCCTCCAGTACTGCCATCCCCATTTCCAGCTTGTGCTGTGTGCTCCCTATGGTTCTCTCGGCCACCATCATGTCATGGGACAGCAGAGGCTGTGGCAGAGGTTGCTGGACCTCCTGAATAGAAACAACATGGCAGCAGATCCCTCTAGACTGAAATTTGGTCAGCACTTGAAATCCATTTTCCACCTAGTGTTATTAGAGGGATTCGGCCAGTCTGGTGGCCCAATTTTGAAGCAATTTTATTTAGCAAGTCTGCTGCTGCCAACATAATTACATCACTCATTAATTTATTTATAACCTGTTATTTTTAGCCTCTTTTGTGGTTTTTGGGACAGGGTCTCACCGTGTAGCCCTGACTGGCCTGGAATTCACTTTGTAAACCAGGCAGGTCTGAAACTCAGAGAGCTCTGCACACCTCTGCCTCCTGAGTGCTGAGATTAAACATGCAGCTCTCACTTTTTCTTATAACAATATAACAATTGGCTCCTGGGGCTGGCGAGATGGCTCATTTGGTAAACATGCTTTGCCACCAAGTCTGACCCTGAACTCAATCCCTGGGATCCACATGGTTGAAGGAGAGAACTGACTCCTACAAGTTGTTCTCTGACCTCTACATGTGCGCTGTGGCATGGACATAGACACACAAGATAAATAAATTAATATTTTAAAACTTTTTGTATGTGTATGTGTGAGTAGACACATAAATTATTTTGAAAAAAGTTAGTTCATGTTTAAGTGTTTGTTACCTGAGTCGATCGTGTTGGAGGTGCAGAAAAACTTGAGGGTTCCGTGTGCCAGGTGTTCACCTAGGGTTTTCTTTGGGGAAATTTATTATTCTCTGGGATTGCCAATGAAACAAATCAATTCAGTTAGTAGATGAAGGCTATTTAAGATTGTTCCTGATTAACTGGCAGTTTTTGTTTTTCCGGAGGTTTGTCATTTCAGCTAAGCTGTGGGATTGTTGGCATACGCTTGCTTCCTTTGCCTGTGCGTAGCTGTAGGATCTGTGGTATCGTCACCTTTCTCATTTCTGATACTGATGATTCTATTTTCTTTTTCCTGTTCATTAGACTTAGAGTTTTATTGTTGTAATGGTTGATTTTATGTGACGCCTTGCTTAGACTAAGGGATGTCTAGGTAGCTGGTAAAACATTTCTCAATGTGCCTGAAGGTCTTTGTGGAAGAGTTAGCATTTGAATCAGGAGACTGAATAAAGATCTTCATTAGCGTGAGTCCTCCAAGGGGAGAGCACCTGTTCCCCAGGCCTTTGGACTCTGGCACTTATACCATGGCCCTCAACCCTGTGCCCCAGTTCTTAGGCCTTTGACCTCTTACTGGCAGTCATTAACATTGGCTACCCTGGTTCTCATGCCCTTGAACCCAGACTGGGTTACACCACTGGCCTTCCTGATTTTCCAGCTCACAGGTGGCATATCATGGAAATTCTTGGCTTTCATAATTGAGTGTCATTTCCCATAATAAATTTGGGCTTGTGGTGGAACATAAGCCTTATTGGTTCCATTTCTCTTGAGTACCCTGATCAATTACAATTGATATCAAGTCTCTTTATTGTTTTCTGTTTATTGTTTTCTAACATCACAATTTGAAAGTATGAATGTTTTGCCTTAAGATAAGGAAAAAGATAAGAATATCTACTTTCCCCACTTCTGTTTAGTACTAAACTGAAGGTTCTAGCGAAGGAAATTAGGTAAGAAAATGGACTACAAATAATAGTATATTGGAAGGAAAGTCAGAACTATTTCTACTTATATATAGTGTTATATGTAGAAAATCAACTAAACTTAGAAGTACTAGAGTGCTTGCATGTGCAAAGTCCTAGATTTAATCCCTGTACCACGTATACAAAGGGTGCACATAGATAGTGATAAACTGTCTAAAACTACTAACAAGTTGAGCAAGCTCATAGGATACAGGTCAGTATAGATAAAGCTGGACCTGGTGGTACATACTTGTAATCCTAGCATTTGGAGGCAAATGATTGGGAGCTTAAAGTCATCCTTGGCTTTTATAAGTAAAGAGCTTGAGGCCAGTCTTAGCTTTGTGGGACCATGTTCCATCCAGCACCCCATCAATAAATGAAGATAAATCATATTTCTATACATTAACAATGATCTAAAAATGAAAATATAAAAAGTGAAATAGGGGCTAGAGAGATGGCTCAGCAGTTAAGAACACTGTTCTTTCAGAAGACCCGGGTTCAAATCCCAGCACCCACATGGCAGCTAACAACTGTCTGTAACTCCAGTCCCAGGATATCCAACAGCCTCTTCTGACCTCTGTAGGCATTGCACGACATGGTTGCACTTACCTACATGCAGGCAATACACGCATACACATATTTAAAAAAAAGAGAAATAAAAATTTCACTTACAAGAACATTAAAAAAGAATAAAATACTCAGGGATAAATTTAACAAAAGTGAAAAGCATGTATTCTGATAACTACAAACAGTGCAAAAATGATTTTTTAAAGTATAAATAAATGGAAAGACATTCTAAATTTATGAATCTACAGATTAAAAATAATCCCTACCAAAATCTCAGGTGGCTTCTTTGAAAAACTGGAGCCGATCCTAAATTCATATGGAAATTTAACCGACTCAGAACAGCCAAAACCATCTTGAAAAAGAACAGAGGTAGAGAACTCATGTGTCCCAGTTTCAAAACTTACTACAGTGTCAGAGATGGACAACAGAAGAACGGACCAGCCTGAGGATCCAGCAAACCCTCACACTCTCAACTGATTTTCAGCAAGGATACCAAAACAATTCATTGGAGAAAGAATGGTGTTTTCAACAGATGGTGCTCTGCAACTGGATGTCTACATAATAAAGAATGAAGTTGTATATCTTTCTTCCATCATGCCCTAAATTAATACATAATGGATCATGGACCTAAATACAAGACTAAAATGTTGAAACTCATAGAACTCACACTCTCTCTCTCTCTCTCTCTCTCTCTCTCTCTCTCTCTCTCTCTCTCTCTCTCTCTCTCTCTCTTGATTTTTTGGAACATTTCTTACTTTATAGCTCAAGCTGTCCATGAATACTGAGCAGTCTTACTGACCCAGCCCCCTGTCTCGAAAACAACAGCAACAACCTACAAGAGTTCTTCATGTAATCTCAGCATGATGACCTGAGTTTGGTCCCTGGAGCCCACATGATGGAAGGAGAGACGCAGCTCCTTAAAGTTGCCCTCTGACGTCTTCCATACATGTGCTGTGGTAGATGAACCCATACACATATATACTTGCATAGAAAATAAAATTTTAAACTATAATTTAGGGACTGGTGAGATGGCTCTGTGGGTAAAGGCACTTTCTGCCAAACTTGACCTACATTTGATTCCCAGACCCACAAGGAGGGGACCAATTCCCGAGAGTTGTTCTCTGACCTAAACATGCATGCTGTGGCATGCACACTGTAGCATGTGCCACCCCCCCAGGTAAAATAAAATTTAAGAATACATTTGTTTGGGGGCTCAGAGGTTAAGAACACTGGTTGTTCTTGCAGAAGACCTGGGTTCAAATCCAAGCACCCACATGGCAGCTAACAACTCCGTAACTTCAGTTCCAGGGGATCCGACAGCCTCTTCTGACCTCCGTGGGCATCGCATAACATGGGTGCACTTACCTACATGCAGGCAATATATGCATACACATAAAAATAACGGTTTTTTGTGTGTGTGTGTGTGTGTGTGTGTGTGTGTGTGTACACATGAGAGCCCATGGAGGCCAGAGCATCAGAGCTGGAGTTACAAGTCATTGTAAGCTACCTGAGTGGTTGCTGGGAACTGAACTCCGATCCTCTGGAAGAAGACATTGCATGACACGGATGCACTTACACACCATTGTGCTATAGCAAGCATGTAGAGGTCAGAGGGCAACATGTGGGAGTGAGTTTTCTCCTTGCATCATGTGGGCTCCAGGAAATGGAACTCAGGTCCCTTTCTCAGAGCCCGTCTGCCACCAGAGACCAGAAGGAATGAGGCGGTGTTCCATGGAGCCCAGTCTCACAGGATACGACAAGCCTCAAGACCAGGAACAAGTTGAAGGTCCCAACATAGAACCAGGAAGCAATGCCTGCCTGATACTGAGTTAATACCTTTACCATAAAAAACAAAACAACTAAGGCTGGTGAAACAGCTCAGTGGTTAAGGGTATTTACTGCTAAGCCTGAGGACCTGAGTTTTATCCCTGAGACCCATATGGTGGAAGAAGAGAATCGGACTCCAACTCCACATGCTATATATAGCATTTGTCTCCCCCCCCCCCACTAAAAAGAACAACTGCATGGAGACAAAATGAGAGCATAGGGAGCTCTCCTCCATCACTCCTCCATCACTGCCTATTCCTTTGAGTCACAGTCTGACCCTGAACCTGGAGTTTTTGCCTTTGGCTAGGCTGGCAGCCTAGTGATTCTTTCTCCACCCCCCATGGTGTTACAGTCATGTGAGACATACTGGACTTCTTATGTGGGTACTGGGATCTGAACTAGGGTCCTCATGGTTGTGTAGTAAGTACTTTTAACCACCTAGCAATCCCTCCAGTCTCAAAAGCAGTGGTCCTTAAAGTGTAGTCTATAGATCAGAAGGTTTGGCCTCTGCTTCTAGCCTCACTCCAGTGAGTTAATGAATCAGAAACTCGGCTGGGGTGGGCGAGAGTTCAACAACCTCTCTTAAGCCCCAGAGGTGGTTCTAATGCACACTCAGGCTTGAGAACTACTGTTCAAAGGATACTTCCATTCTTTTTCACTTAGGTCTCCAAACACCTGTCTGTCCTTAGCCAAGTTGCTGCTGGTACCAGCAGGCAGTGAGTGTAAATGAAGGCTTGACGTCAGGGTTAGTGGAAGGAAGACCTGCTGTGGACAGCTGCAAGTAGCTTTGTCACTGTCACCAAATGGTCCAGCATTGCAATATCTGAACAGGTCAGGGCCATGAGCATACTGAAAGTGTGACTCAGGGCCGTAGTCCTGCAGAGAAGCAGGTGTTTGACTGGTTCTCTGCCCACCAGGAAGCATGGGGACAGACCACTGGAGGAAATATATAACAAGAAGTGATTAGGGGCACTTACAGAGGTTCAAGTCCTGTACAGAAACAAAACCAGACCAAGCCCCCAGACTTCATCACTTTCTGGAAATAAAATCATTGTTTCCAACAATTTAAAAAAAACAGTATATGTATTGAAAGATAAAATGGTTACTGGCAAGACTCAAATTAGTGGCTTGGAAGAGTAAGTGGAAAAAATATTTCAAAGCACAGAGCAAATAATATGAAAAGACGGAAATAATTAGAAAAATATGAGGCTTGGTGTCTAGCACCAAGAGCCCTAACACTGAAATGCATTAGTTTCAAAAGACAAAAAGGGAGAGGTGAAGATGCAACAGTTACAGATTAGAGAAGAAATACCTTGCTGAGCTCAAGAACAATCTGAGCTTGCAGACTAGAACTCAGGAAGACATAAGAAGGCAGAAGCGCTGGGCATGGTGGTGCACGCCTTTAATCCCAGCACTCAGGAGGCAGAGGCAGGCGGATCTCTGTGAGTTCAAGGCCAGCCTGGTCTACATAGTGAGTTCCAGGACAGCTGGCGCTACAGGGAGACCTGTCTCAAAAAGACCCCCCCCCCCCAAAAAAAGAAGGCAGAAACATGTAGGAAGAAACATCTAGATGCTGAGATCACAGAAAAACACTGTTTAGTTTTTAAACAGAAAGAGCAAGTAATTTACAAAGGGAAATGGAGACACTTGGTATAGAACACTGAAACTGGGAAACTGACAGGAAAGCACAGCTGCCCAGACTTCCACGGCTGAAAAAGCATTCACCTGTCAGGGCAAAAGAAAGGTATTTGGGGCTGACTAGATGACTCGGCAGGTGAAGTGCTTGCCACCAAGCCTGATAACCTGAGTTTGATCCCTGAAACCCACATGGTGGATGGAGAGAACCAGTTCCAGCAAATTATCCTCTGACCTCCACATGGATGATGTGTAGCACATACACACACACACACACACCACACTTAACAAATAGTTTTTTTTTTTTTTTTGTCTTTTTGAGACAGGGTCTCCCTGTAGCCCCAGCTGACCTGGAACTCGCTATGTAGACCAGGCTGGCCTCGAACTCACAGAGATCCACCTGCCTCTGCTCACAAAAACCAGGATTAGAAGGAGCCCAGGGAAATGAACAGTATCATCCTTATGTTCATTTCTAGAGGGAAGACAGGTGTGTGAACAACGTTTTATTTTATGCATTTAATTTTTTTGGGGGGTGTTTTTGAGACAGGGTCGCCTTGTAGCCCCAGCCGGCCTGGATTTGCTATGGAGACCAGGCTGGCCTCAAACTCACAGAGATCCGCTTGCCTCTACCTCTCTCTGCCCCCCGAGTGCTGGGATTAAAGGCATGCGCCACCATGCCCGGCTCCCATTTAATTTTTTAAAAGATTTAATTTTGTATATGTGTGTATTTGTGCATGCGAGTGCATGAGTACTTGGAGGCCAGAGGTGCTGGGAGTTACAGGGAATGTGAACCTCCTGATGTGGGTGCTGGAAACTGAACCAATCTCTCCAGTCCTTGAACAGTGTTTTAGTTAAGCCCGCCCAATATTACAGTAATTCTTCTGCTAGAAAATTCCGTTTGGAAAGTGCACAATTATGTGTATATATATATATTTTTCTGGCATATACATAGGATGCATGTGTATATTATATATATAATATATATTATATAAACATGGGGATATTTGTCATAGAATTGCTTCTAAGATTACTTGTCACAAAGTGGGTTTTTGCTGGGTGTGGTGCTGAATTCCTTTAATCCCAGCACTCTGGAGGCAGAGGCAGGTGGATCTCTGAATTCAAGGCCAGTCTGGTCTACATAGTAAATTCCAGGTCAGCCAGGGCTAAATGGTAAGACCTTGTCTAAAAACAAACAATGAAACAAAAAATTCAAAAGCAACAACAACAAAAAAGTAGGTTTTCAACCAGTTATGAATGAGGGGACAAGATTTTATTCTTCTCTTGGGAGGAGTAGAAAGTCAAGACCAAACCCTTCCTGAACTTTGGTGGCCGTGGTCCTTCTGAGCCTCCCCACATTCATCAATTCTGTAAGGTCCCCCAGTATCCCATGTCTGAGAGCCATGGGTAAGAAGGTAACTCGTGCCCAAAACACAGAGGGGGTACTCAAGAGTCTGTGCTCAGGTGCCCCCAGGGGTGCACACCTGTGTCTTTGTGGCCCCCTGGCAAGGCTGTGTGCAGGCCCCTGGCTCAGAGTGGGGTAGGGGAGTGCAGTGAGGGACTCTGGCCGGGGGCTTTGCAGGTGAAGAGCTTGATGCTGTCCTCTGGACAGTGTGGGCACCTTGATCTCAGGGATGGCAGGACCAAGATCGAGGTGTCACCAGCCCCCAGAATGTCGTCTGTGCCATGAAAGATTGTGAGTGAGGTTACATCTAGTGACCCACTTTATGCATGAAAACATGAGCTCCCCTCCCCCCAACCCATACCCTGTCCCTGACCATGAATGGCTATTGAATTGGAATCCAAAAGGGCTGGCTGCTGGGTGCCTCATTCTGGATGGGGAACTGGGAGAGGGTGGTGTAGCCTTACCTTGGGCAGGGGACAGTGTCGCCATGCGTACCACTCCTGGCAGTATAGGCTGACCTGGATGCCCTGGCCCAGAAAGAGCAAGGTCCACATCAGCACATTCCAGGCAGGGCCTGTGTGTCGGTCATTCATGGTGAAGTTCAGCAGCCCTGGGGTAGGAGAAGGTGGTCACTCCTGCTTCAGTTCCCTCTGCCTTCCTTGCTAGAGTCTGGGAAGTGACAGAGCAGAACCAGGAAGGAGAGTCCTCCTTCCTCAAGCAAAATCTTGAACCCAGCTGCAGAGACTCCTGGGGCGGGGGGGTTTCAAGAGAGGAAACGAAGATTGTAGTTTGCCTCTCGACATCCTGTATGTTGGAGCTCCCAGCCACACCACAGCTTCCCCATTTCCCTCTATGTCCCTTCCTCAAATGCTCTTCTTCAACCAGAAACCTCCCAAGTCCCCCAGGATGCTCCTGCTGTCTTCCAAGGTCACCCAAACCCAGCATCCACAGGAGTAGCCACGTCTCCTGCCAGACACCTCCCTTCTAGGAGCACAGAGGCCAAGCTCACCTCCAACCACAAGGAAGAGCATCAGCATGACTGGGTAGAAGAACCCCAGGACGAAGCAGAAGATGTACTCATGCACTACCGCAGACACCAGGAACACTCCCAACATCGCTGCTCTGCGGGCCCGGCTGCCCAGGAGCTGGCGGGGAAGGAAGGAGAATGAGGAGCTGATATCTCTCAGCCCCTCCAGGAAGGAGCTCTCCTCAAGGAAGCCAGGAGTGTGGCTCAAAGGAAAGGCTGTGGGATGTGGGGTCAAAGGGGCCTACATTAGTCTTATTTAAGAGCATTGTTCTACATATTTGATCTTAGCTGTGATTTTATGGTTGCTTGTATTTGTACTTTGACAGGGGTGGAGACTGAACCCAGGCCTCATGCATGTTAGGCAAGTGCTGTACCCCTGAGCCACAGCCTCCTAGCTGTTTTGTTTTGTTTGTGCATGTTGATTTTGTGTGTGTGCACGTGCATGTTTGTGCATGACTGTGGAGGCACTATCCATCTTGTTTTTTAAAAATATTTAATTTTTTTTTTTAATGTGTATGAGTGTATTGCCTGTATGTGTGTAAGTGCAGTCATGTCGTGCAGTGCCTGCAGAGGTCAGAAGAAGGCATCGGCTCCCCTGGAACTGGAGTTACACACAGTTAGCCGCCACGTGAGTGCTGGGAATTGAACCCAGGTCCTCTGCAAGAGCAGCTGGTGCTCTTAGCTGCTGAGCCGTCTGTCCAGCCCCTATCTTGTTTTTTGAGACAGGGTCTCTCACTGGTCTGGAACTCAACAAGTAGGTTAGGCTGGCTGGCAAGAAATCCCCAGGGATCTGTCTGTCTCTCCCTCCCCAGTGCTGAGATTACAAGTGTACAACTGGGCATTTTTTATTTTTTTGAGGCAGTGTTGGTGTTTAAAAAAATTTTTAGTTTAAGCTTAAGCACAAAAGTTAAGAGGAGACTCAGAAGAGAGATGCGCCTGAGGACATGGTGCACACTTCTCAAAGAGCAGTCGCCTGGCTGCTTTTTTTTTTAACTTGGGTTCTGGGGCTCGAACTCAAGTCCCCATATTTGTAAGGTAAACACTTTAATAACTGAGCTGTTTCCCCAGCTCCCTGTTTATTTTTTGAGACAGGGTCTCACTCTAAAGTGCAGACTTGCCTGGAATTCATTATGTAGCCCAGGCTGGCCTCAAACTCAGGGCAGTCCTCCTGCCTCAGCTTCCCAAGTGCTGAGATTACAGGTGTGTTCCATTACACCAGACCTCAGATGCAATTTTCTTCTTTTTAAACTTCATTATTTTTATTTTGTGTGTAGAGTGAATTGCCTGCATGTATGTAAGTGCACCTGTGTCATACAATGCCCAAGAAGAACAGAAGAGGTCGTCGGGTCCCCTAAAACAGGAGTTAGAGATGGTTGTTAGCCATAACGTGGGTGCTGGGAATTGAACCCGGGTCCGCTGCAAAAGCAGCCAGTGTGCTTTTAATTGCTGAGCCGTCTCTCCAACTCCCAACTCTGCTGCAATTTTCAAGTAGGGCTATAATTATCCTTACTTCTCGGGTTACTGTGCTGATTAAATGTATGTGAAAATCCTTGGCAAGTGAAAATTGCAGTATGTATGACCCTTTGGAGGCTTACAAAAATAACTTGTAGAGAGGGTGAAATTAGGATAAAGAAGAAAGTCAGGTCATAAGGAGGACTTTCCACTCACTGGGCTGAGTAGAATGTGGACAGCTAAAATCAACAGAGTCCTTAGGTCTGACTAAGGTGATGAAGCAAAATGTTCCCACATTTTGGAAAGGGCCACCCCAGAAAGTCCCCTTGTTGGGACTGAAAACTAAGGGGTGTGCAGAGCTCATACCCACAGCCCATCCTGATACACATAGCTGTACAACCAGTCATGGACCACCACATTCCAAGTGCGGTAGTAGTTGGAGAAGGATGTAGAGTTCCACCAGTCCTGGAGAGAGAGGGGTTTGGGGAGGGAAAGGACTTGAGATCTCAGGCCTGAGCCGCTCCTGCTGCTTTCCACCTACCCTGGCGGGCATCCTCCCAGAGGGGCTTGCTCCTAGCCAAACAGATAACAACACACTCCCGCTGCAGGACTGGGCTCCCTCCCTCCTGCCTACCCTGTCTCTTCAGAGAGATCTTGAAGCACCATCCACAAAGAAGCAGTCAGGCCTACTTTCAGAGGCGCAAAATGGCGTTATCCCCACCCCCTGAGGCCCACATTGCTCTTTGTGGGAGCCCAACACCCTGGCAACACCCACCACAGATACCATCTTCCCTGGGCCCTTTGTGAACCTCCTAGACTGTAACTCCCAACTGGCCCCGGTCCAGGTCGCACCCGATAGAACATCCTGTCTCCAAATCGCAGCATCTCGGCGAAGGCGTTGAGCCAGCAGTGCAGGAAGGCGAAGAAAATGAGGAACAGCATGAAGATGCCTGGGTGGGTGGGACAAGAAGGGCAGCCGGCAGCTCTGCCCAGGCTCTCTAGAGCCCCGCCCAGCAACTAGGGCCCCAACACTTAGAAAGCATTCATTTTTGTCATTCGCACAGCCCACAGCCGCAGATTCCTTAATTCACACATCTGCTAGTGTGCTTGGCTGTGCCTGCTCTATGCCTGAAAATATAAATACAGAATCACAAAGTCCCTGGCCTTTGGGAGTTCACACACTGAGATATACACACAGAGGCAGCGACAAAGAGTCATGCACAACCCCATGTGAGACAAGGTCAAGTGTATTGACAGCCAGTGATGTCCTGGGGAGTGCAGAGCAAGGAGTGGGTGGATCACTGTAACTGATGGTTAAAAAAGGAAAGTTTGGGGCTGGAGAGATGGCTCAGCGGTTAAGACCACTGACTGCTCTTGCAGAGGACCTGGGTTCGATTCCCAGCACCCACATAGCAGCTGTGAACCATCCTAAACTCCAGTTCCAGGGGAATCCGAAGCCCTCTTCTGACCTCCGCAGTCCACGGGTGGACTCACATACATTCATGCAATACACTCATACACATAAAATAAAAATAATAAAATATTAAAAAGAAAGTTTAGCTGTGAGGTGATATGCCTGCAGTCCCAGTGACTGTGGAGGCTGGGATGGGAGAATGCTTGAGCCAAGGATTTTAAGGATAGCTTGAGCAACATAGGCCCTATCTCAAAAAATTAAAAAATGTATATATGTGCAGTAAGATAAAAATTAGACCAGGAGGGGCTAGAGAGATGGCTCAGCAGTTTAAGAACACTGGCTGTTCTTGCAGAAGACCCGGGTTCAAGTCCCAACACCCACATGGCAGCTAACAACTGTCTGTAACTCCAGTTCCAGGGGATCTGACAGCCTCTTCTGTTCTCCTTGGGCATTGCATGACATGGGTACACTTACCTATATGCAGGCAATACACACATACACATAAAATAAAAATAATAAAATAGTTTTAAAAAATTAGACCAGGAAAAGAGATATAGCTATAGATAGATGATAGATAGATGGATGTTAGGTTTCCCAGAGAAGGGGGCATCTTAGCCATGGACCACCAAGAAGAAACTAGATTCTGTAGCTGGAAAGTGGGGAAAAGGTACTATCCAAGCCAAGCCTGAAGAGGCTGATGGTAGGAGGATAGTGAGTTTGAGGACAGCCTAGGGTGAGGTGAAAGCCTATCTGAAAAACAAAGCTAGGCATGGAGGAGCATGCCTTTAGCACACAGGAGGCACAGGCAGGCAGATCTCTGTGAGATCAAGGATAGCCTGGTCTAAATGGTGAGTTCCTGGCTAGCTGGGGCTACAGAGAGACCCTGTCTCAAAAAACAAACAAAAAAACCCATAAAAGAATACCGCCCCCTACCCTGCCAAGAGGCTGGAGACTAGAGAGATGGCTCAGATGGTTAAGGGCATTGGCTACTTTTGCAGAGGACCCAGGTTCAGTTCCCAGCACCCACACGGTGCTAACAACCATCCATAACTCCAGTGCCAGGGGATCCAAAGTCCTCTTCTGTATTCCATGGGCATTGCACAACAGGTGTGCTTACAGTCAGGCAAAACACTCAAATATGAAATAAAATGATAATAATTTTTTAAAAATTTAAAAGATTCCTCAAACATCAAACAAACATTTAAAAAAATGAGAGTTCGGGGGCTGGAGAGATGTTAAGAGCAGTTAAGAGCAGGAGTTAAGAGAACCGATTGCTCTTGCAGAGGACCCGGGTTCGATTCCTAGCACCCACATGGTGGCCATGAACCATCCTTAACAGGAATCTGAAGCCCTCTTCTGACCTCCATGGCATTGCATGACATGGGTGCACTCACATACATGCAGGCAATACACTCATATACATAAAATGAAAATAATAAATTAAAAAAAAATTTTGCCGGGCGTGGTGGCGCATGCCTGTAGTCCCAGCACTCGGGAGGCAGAGGCAGGTGGATCTCTGTGAGTTCAGTCAAGGCCAGCCTGGTCTACATAGTGAGTTCCAGGACAGCTGGGGCTACAGGGAGACCCTGCTTCAAAAAGACAAAAAAAGGGGGTGGGTGTTAAAAAAAAAATTAGAGTTCAAGGCCAGTCTGGAAAACTTAGTGAGCCTCTGTCTCAAAGTAAAACGTGAAGAGAAGGCTGGGGATGTAGATCAGTGGTAACAGGATTTGCAGAGCATGAGGCCCTAGGTTCAGTCTCCATTATAGGGAAAGAAGGGAAGGAGGAAGGGGAAGAGGGGAGGAAGGGCTTTTGAAGCAGGGTTAGGAGTGATTAATTTGCAGGAGGGAGTTCACCTGGGCAGCAAAGGCAGGCACAGATGGGAACTCTCCTGAGCTGTGAGTGGTGAAGAGCTAGGTTATGGGGCTGAACTCAGATGGTGGTGGTGAGCATGGACAGGCAGGCAGGTGTACAAGGGATTCAGGAGACTGATGCCCAAAAACAGGCACAGAGTGAGCCCTTCCATAGCAAGCCTTCCCCAGGGTAGGGTGCAGCCTTTTCCAGTCATGAGGGAGGGCTTACCTGGCCCTGTGGCATGCATGACTGAGAGTACCAGGGCATGCATGCTGAAGGGCTCCCGGCTCATATTGGCAAAGATAGGGACACAGAGACGGCCCAGGATGAAGCAGGCATAGAGCACACAGCCCAGGGCCTGCAGACAGAGTAGGGGACATGTAGCTTTGGCAGAGGCACTGCCTCCTCCCCAGCCTCCCCCACTTCACTCCCAGGAACCCTCCCAGCCACCATGAGTCACAGCAGCAGGCTAGCTTCTACCCCATCTTCTGACCTGGGCAAAGTTCTTGGCCACATAATTCCACCTGATGCTGGGTGTCCTGCAGCAGCAACAGGAATAACATGAGTGTCATCCTTTTTTTGAAGTTTATTTTTATTTTATGTGTGTGGGTGTTTTGTCTGTATGTATATCAGTGCACCTACGTGTGCAATGCCCCCAGAGGCCAGAAGGGGGCACTGGATCTCTTGGAACTGGAGTTACAGATAGTTGTTAGCTGCCATGTGGGTGTGGGGAACTGAACCTGGGTTTTCTGCAAGAGCAGCCAGTGCTCTTAACTGCTCAGCCAGCTCTCCAGCCCCGCATGTCATCTTTTCACGTCATTCTATGCTTAGGCCTTTGTCCCTCTCTCAAAGCCCCCTCAGGGGCTCAGGCCTGGGTGAATTAGCTGAGGAAGTGGGGCTGGGTGGGATGGTGGTATCCTAGAACACTTTGCATTTTCCAGAACACAGAAGGTAAGTGAATGCTTAATTTGGGTGTCATTGAAGGTGCCTGACCATCCACAGTTTTATGGGTTGTGGAGAACAGAAGTCGGGGGACCAGTCAGGACAGTGGGCCACCCTTGGTGTGGCAATATGATGGGCAAGGGAGAGGGGCAATCTGCCCCCTTTACTTCCTCTTGAGCCTCTTGGTGCCCTTTGGGTAGAAGGGCACCATCCTTGCTGGGCCTGGGCATTTGCAAAGGGGCTGTAGGGTCTTACCTGGGGTACGTCTCTCTGTAGAGGAGTGTGGGGCAGAAGAGGAAGTAGAGGTAGCTGGAGAAACTGGGGACACAAATGCTTGTATCTGGGCAGGAATGAAAAGGGTGGGTCAGGATGGGGAGGGCTGATAGAGCAGGATGAGGCGGTGGGATTTGTTGAGTGGACAGAGGTGGATGGGGAAGGGGCTGGATCCAGGGTATGGATCCAGGTGGGTCTGAACCACTCTTTACGCTCCTTCTTTTGCTCACATTACAGGCACCCCATTTTCCAGTGCAGGGCCAGCAGTGACTAGAGCCTTCAGCAGCTAGGACCCATCCTCCTGACTCTCCCTTAGGAGGTTCTCCTCCCTGCCTCTTTCCAGGCTGGGCTAGGAACAGGAAAGCCCCCAAAGCCCTAGATAACAGAGTGGTTTGTTCAGAGGTAGGTCTGACATGGCTCATGACTGGGGTCCCCTAGCCCACCTAACTGTCAGATCTGGGCCTGGTGGCTCACTGGCTTGGGAAGGCAGAGGTTTTATGAGGACTGTGCAACTTCTGGTTTCATCCAAGCGATCATGAGGACCCAGTTCACAGTGTGCCAGTGGAACATCTCACCTCCTCTGGCACAAAGAGTTCCAGGCAATGCCTCTCTCAGAAAGGAGTAGCTTTTCATCAGAAGTCTGATCTGAAGTGGAAGCAAGGCCAAGTTGCTGTGTGGCTCTGAGCAAATCACTTCTCTCTACTCCAATTTACCACAGGCTATAAGATCTGCCTCTTGGGACCCCACACTTTTTCCCCCCCTACAACTTCATAGCTTAACAGCCAGTGCTGGACTCAAAGGTAAAAGGGGACTGGAGCAGCCTGGTCAGAGTATTCATCCTACCAACACTCTATAGTCCTGGAGAAGTCAGCGTAATAGCCCCTTTAGAGTACTTCCTCCAAACCTGCAATTTCACCCAATCCTAACCGACTCCACCCCGTAGTAACTAGCTCTGTCAGTCCCTTCAGGGTGGACTCTCTGTAGAGGTGGTACCCGAGTTCCCTAGTCCTACTGCAGACCGGGTACTCACCTGCTCAAAGACCAGCACGCAGCGGGAGGCGGGAGGAAGCTGATGCTTCACCGCCACATGGATCGGGAGGACACAGAGCACCGTGGCGTGAGTGGCCAGAAGCACAAAACCCAGGCCAGCCCCCAGAGTCCAGGTGCCCCCGGTGCGGGGCCTGCCCCAGAGCCGCAGGGCCTGGTAGGGTGCCAGCAGTGTGGACAGGAACATGGGGACCCAGGTCATCAGCGCCATGGGCAGCTGTCCGAAGCTGTAGATCAGTAAGTCAAACTCCAGCATGAGCCTTGGAGAACGGAAAGGGAGGACAGTAGATGGTTTTCCTCCTCAGGCAGCTTCTGGAGGAGGAACCAGGGGGATTTAAAAAAAGCAAAAACAAAAACAAAACACTGATCTTGGATCCTGGACTGGGCAGTGGTGCACACCTTTAATCCCAGTATTTGGGAAGTAGAGGCGGATGGATTTGCTTGAGCTCCAGGTCTGTCTCAAAGAAAGAAAGACCAATCTTATGTTTTCATGTTTCCCAAACTGGCCATGAACTTGTTTATGTAGCTGAGGATGACCCTGAACTTCTGATCTCCTTGTCCCCACCTTTCCACTGCTGGATTACAGGCATGGACTATCATGCCTGGTTTATGTAATACTGGGCATCACACCCAGGGTTTCCTGCATGCTAGGCAAGCACTCTACCAACTGAGCCACATTCTGAGCCAACTGGAGCCCCATCTGTGACTGTGTTCCTGTTGGCCTTGGTGTTGCCCAGGACTTCCAGTACAGGACCTTGTCCAACAGACGTGCTCCTGGGATGTCGAGATTCTAAATGACCTTGAGTTAGATGGATGTTGTGGTGTTGCAGAAGGGCTCAGTCCTGCAAGTGTTTATATGAGCTTTGATCTTTTTATAAATTTGGTTCCTCCCGAGTGTCTGTAATTGTAGGCCTGGGCTAATAGAATGCACTGTGTTCAGTGTTTTGCTTGCCCAGGTTGAGTGTATTGGCACATACTTAATCCCAGCTACTCTGGAGGCTGAGGCAGGAGGATAGCAAGTCCCAGGCTAGTAGGCTACATAAAAAGGTCTTGTCAACAAAAAAAAAATGTTTTTAAAGAACATATAGTATTAAAGGTGGAAAATTGGAAATAGGGGACTGAGGATATTGCTTAGTCAGTAGAGAACTTGCTTGTGATGTGTGACGCTATGTTCAGTCATAGGGCAGGTGTGATAGAGCATGCCTGAAATCCTAGCACAGGAAAGGTGGAATCAAAAGGATAAGAAGTTCAAGGTCATCCTTGGCTACATATCAAGTTTAAGTTCAGCCTGGGCTATGAGACCTTATCTCAGCCAAAGAAACAGTTGGACACAGCCTCAATCTCTGTCGATAAAGGACAACATGAATAGAATTTGGTACTTCTATAGGCTGCAGTCATTAAAATCAATAGATTGACATGGCAAGACGACAACAATTGGTTGCAAAAATCACCGAGTATCTTGCTTCTAAACACCCCCACAGCATGCATCTCTTTGATTCGTATGAATATATCAATGTGAATGAATAGAAAATGCTCTGAGGAGACCTCAAAATTGTTTATAAAAAAAGCCAACTTTGGTGGCTTGCACCTAGCTACTTGAGAAGCTGAGACAGGAGGATCAAAAGTTCAAGGACTGGCTCGGGTACAGAGTGAGTTCAAGAGAGCCTGGGCAACTTGGTGAGACTCTGTCTCCAAAAAAAAAAAAAAAAAAGCCAGGCGTAGTGGCGCACACCTATAGTCCCAGCACTTGGGAGACAGAGGCAGGTGGATCTCTGTGAGTCAAGGCCAGCCTGGTCTACATACTGCGTTCTAGGACAGCTGGGGCTACAGGGAGACCCTGCTTCAAAAAGACAAAAAAAAAAAAAAAAAAAAGGAAAAGAGAGCTGGGCTAGGGATGTAGCTCAGTGGTGGGGTGTTTGCCTAGCACCAAGAGAGCCTACACTTCATCCTCAGTATCACAAAAAGTTAGAAATGGTGACTTCTGGGGAGTGGATTGGGATTGATGAAGGTAGGCTAGAGCTATTCATACTAAAATGTGTATGTGAATTTAGGGGGCGATGCTGGAGATGGAATGCAGGGCCTTAGTCAAACACTGTGCCACTGAGCAATATCTCCAGCTTGATCTGAGCTTCTTATTGAGATTTGGTCTTCTAATACTCTTATAATTGACAATGAGCATTTCACTCAACTGAAGGGCTGATGTGGAACCTGTAGGTTTATAGGTTTTTACATATTTTGTTTTTATTTGTTTATTCATTTATTTATTTGTTTTTTTGAGACAGAATCTCCCTGTAGCCCCAGCTGACCTGGAACTCACTATGTAGACCTGGTTGTCCTCAATTCCGCAGAGATCTGCCTCCCCCTGTCTCCCAAGTGCTGGGATTAAAGGCATGCCCAACCAGGCCCTGCCCAGCATTTATAGCTTTTTAAGCTTGACTGTAAGTAAGGTGGGGAACACTGAAATACAGCTCTCCCAGGAAAGACCATCTCTTGAAGTCCATGTCTATTCTCCTCATGGGATGGGAGGTGGCTCATAGGCAGGGATGGGGCTGCCCCCTCAACCTATCTGGCCCTCTGGCTTGTATTACGTAGTGATTAAATGGAAGTTGCTTGCATTGAGTAGAACTGATTTAGAAGGTGTGTGGGGATGTGCATGTGTGTACACGCACATTTGTCTCAAAACAAGATTGCCATGGAGAAGTATTTGAGAGGGGGTGTGGTGCTCCCTGAACAACAGGCCATCCAAGACTAGGGAGAGAAAGTCCAAGGCAGGTAGGGTACTGGGGACCAGGGCCTCTGATCAGGTCACTGTGCCTGTGGAAGGGGCCTTACCTGCCCTTATCAATGAAGTCAATGGCTAGGGTGCTGATGATCAAGACACACAGGCCAGCAATGAACATGTGGTGGATGGTGCGGAAATGCTGCACTTCCATCAGCTCGCTGTAGGGAGGATCCCAGAGGTCAGGATGGGAGGGTCCTCAGCAGCCTGCAGAGGAGCTCAGGCACTATACAGGTGAGGTTGTGGGGCCCTCTCATCCAGAACTCTCAGCTGAGGGCTGGCATGTGGCTGGGGCTTCTACAGGCATGTCCCACAACCACACCCCAGGTAAAGCCCTCTCCAGATCCTCCCAGAAGATCCCCTAGAGCCCAGGCATGAGAACTGTGGTGGCTTGGACCCCAACCAAAGCCTTTTCTTCCTCCTGTCTTTTGTCCTCACCCCGACTTACTCCAACAATGACCTTCGGGTGACAAAAACTTTCCGTTTCCCAAAGGATGACTTCTGGGTCCTGGATTAAAACAGTTTTCAGAGCTAGGTCACAAAGGAAGAAGGGAGAGGGCAGTGCCATGCAGAAGGTCAATACTTGTACAGTAACAGTAGCAGGGGAAGGTCAGGGCTGGGGCAGGGCAAGGTTTGGAGGGTTGGAGGCCAATGCCATGAGACAAAGTGATGAGTCAGGGAGGAGAGGTCATGCCAAGGACCCCAGTCTTGGGTCCTCAGACTCACTTGCTCACAGAATCTGGGTCGATGGAGGGCAGAGGTCTGTGTTGTTGGGAGTAGGCTTGAACAGCCTCTGATATGGCCTGATCCAGCAGCTTTGCCAGCTGTCCCTGAGCTTGCTCCAGAAACTGGGTCTTCACAGCCTACAGGACAAAGCCAGGCTAGAGCTTACTGTCCTGCTAACCAGCCATTCCTTTCATTCACCAGTCACAATCGTAACTGCTAGGGATAGAAAGATGGCAGGGCTTCCCCAACCTCTGGTCAGGCTTCCCAGGGTAGCAGTGAGAATCACAGCAGAAACTGGGTGTGGTGACAGATATCTGTAATCCCAGCTACTCAGGGACTGAGGCAGAAGGATCATGAGTTTGAGCCCAGCCTGGGCGAGACCTTTTCAGAGAAAAAAGAAAATAACTGCAGGAGCAAGGTTGTAGCAATTTGGGTCAGAACTCAAGCCAGGTCACCACCGTCCTCACTACCTGACCTCTGACATCTAGTCATATGGGGCGCGCTGGGCGCCAGGTGTGGGGTGTGTGGGTATCTGCTCCTGCGCTGCTTCCCTGCGTCTTCTGTGGCTCTCTGTTGCTGGAGCTCTGTCCAGCCGGGTCCCGCCCTTATTTTACCCGTGCATTTTTTTCAATATGTGAGTTCCACCAGCCGCTGGACCACGCAGGAAAGTACAGGGTGGCTGAAGCTGGGTGTCTGTGAGTTGATGTCGGAGGAATGCTGCCCCCCGGGGAGACTAGATTGCAGGCAGGAGACACAGACTCAGTCCAGTCAGATTCAGTGCTACAGCTCTTTATTCCAAGTCTCAGTGACCCAGTTCCTGCTCTAGCTCCAGCTCCGCTTCTAGCTCCAAATTATTGAGAGAAGACTAGGATATTTTTATACTGTAGGGGCAGTGGTAAAAGCTTTAGCTGATAGGCACTTTGCGAGATACCCTGTTTACATATGGAAGTGGGCTCCTGCCATGCTGCCAGACAACCTGAAAAATCACACAGGAAAGCATGGCATTTCCAGAGCCAGAGGCCATGTTTATGTGGCTGCTACTTCACAAAGGAGTCAGGAAAAATGCTGGGAAGATGCCCTGCTGTGAAAGGAGTCTCTGCATATGGCTCCGAGCTCGTGAGCTGTCCGGACATGAAGAAACTTCTACTTTACACAACAAAGGTCCCCAACACAGTCATACTAACAGGAAGACTGCACTAGCTGACTTTTGGTCCTTGTCCTGAAGACCTATGTTTCAAATGCCTTCATCTTAACTCTTAATTATTTTTTTAATGCTTAGTTCAAATTCCTTTTAATTCATAAGTTGTTAAAAAAAAAACTAACAAATTAGTTAAGTTTGTGGGGGAAAAGGAGGTTAACTTGGCAGTATATAATACTACCAGACAATTTAAATTAGATGTTAAAAGATTTAATCAGAAAAAAAAAAGAAGATTCAACCAGACTGGCGGGGCATGGTGGCACACACCTTTAATCCCAGAAGAGGCAGGGAGATCTCTGTGAGTTCAAGGCCAGCCTGGTCTACATAGTGAGTTCCAGGCCAGCCCCTGTCTCAAAAAAAAAAAAAAAAAAAAAAAAGGATTTAACCAGGCTGAGTGTGATGGCTCATGCCTTTAATCCTAGCACAGAGGCAGGCAGATCTATGTGAATTTGATGCCAGCCTGGTCTACATAGCAAGTTCCAGGCCAGGTGGGGCTACAGGGAGACCCTGTCTCAACATCCCCCTCAAAAAATAAATAAAAAGCCCCAACCAAACAGAAAAGGATTTAACCAAAAATGGGAGGTGAGATGGCTCAGTGAGTAAAAGCATTTACTGTGCAAGACTTGTGACCTGATTTTGATCTGGAACCCACAGTAAAAGGAGAAAATTGACTTCTGAAAGTTGTCATTTGACCTCAACACACTTGTGCATGCTTGCACATACACACACGTGCCTGTGCGTGCACGCACATGCACCAATAATAATAATAATAAAATAAAATTTAAAAAGAAAAGTTCTTTTTTTTAAATCTCTGATCATTGCTAGAGACTGTTAAAAAGATTTAACCAGGGCTGGAGAGATGGCTCAGTGGTTAAGAACATTGGTTGTTCTTGCAGGAGACCTGGGTTCAAATCCCAGCACCCACATGGCAGCTAACAACTGTCTGTAACTCCAGTCCCAAGGGATCCAACAGCTTCTTCTGATCTCCAAGGGCACTGCACAACACAAATGCACTTACCTACATGCAGACAATACACGAGTACACATATAATAAAAAACACATATAATAAAAATAATAAATAAAAAAATTTTTTTTAAAGATTTAACTGCTGAGTGTGGTAGCGTATGCCTTTAATCCCAGCACTCAGGAGGCAGAAGCAGGCGGATCTCAGTTCAAGGCCAGCCTGGTCTACACAGTGAGTTCCAGGACAGCTGGGGCTACAAGGGAGACCCTGTCTCAAAAAGACCAAAAAAAAAAAAAAGATTTAACCAACAGCTGGTGATTTAAGCTTTAATACTATCCTCAAGTTAGCCTTTAATGCTAACCTGATCTTTGAACTTAAAAACAAATCTTCTTATCACCCAATCAGTCCTAACTCCTGCCACCCCAGGACCTATCCATTTTTTTTTTTTTTACAAGGTTGAGCCTAGGCTGGTCTGGAACTTTATGTAGTCAAGGATAACCTTGAACTTCTAATCCTTGTGTATCTACTTCCCAAGTGCTGGTATTATAGTTGTGTGCCTCCGCACCAGAAGATGGTGCTGGGGATCAAACTAGGTCTTCATTCATGCCAGGCTAGCACTCCAATTGAGCTTCATCCCCAGCCCAAACCTGTCCAACCTGTCCATCCTGAGCTCTAACTTCTGCAATCCCTTACCTCCATATGTCGGGTCCATTGCACCAAGTCTAGGGCTCTGAGCTTCTTAGTGTTTCCTAGGAGAAGAAATCAAAGGGGACACCCACAGGGAGCTGTTAGGGCTCTGCAGACTCAGAGGTGACTTTGGTCTGGGAAATGTTTTCTGTATGCCCACTAGCCTCTCTGACCAATTAGTCAACATTTAGTACTGTGAGTAGAAAAGCAACTAAAAGGAGAATTGATTTGTGCAGGGAGGGAAGAGGTCATTGGCAAGAGGGAGCTGATGACATTGCTGGAAACAGGATACCTAGAGAACAGGGAGCTACTCCACTTCACCCTCTGTGAAAAAGTTAGTGGGATAAGGCAAGGCCAGGGCTCTGAACATCCTCTTTCTCCTCCATTGCTGGTCTGAGTGGTGTGGAAAAGAGGCCAGCAACTGCCTTCTCTGGCTTCCCAGGACAACAAGAAGAACTGACATTGGACAGCAGTAAGTTCCTCTCAGCAATGATCCCCACCTCAGTCCTGCCCAAGTGTCCACCCTGGGTATGTGGGGGCTCACCTTCTCCAGAGGCTCCCTTCTCCTGCTCCTCTCCCAGCCCTTCTCTCCTCCGTCGGGCTCCCTTTGGCTCCATGGTGTGACTGGAATGGTGCAGCTGACAGCTAGCTGTTGCCTGTTCACTTTCCTTTCCTTCTCAACCTGCCTACTGAGCTCTTGTCCCATTTGGAGAGCTGACAGCCCCAGAGATTAAAGTCCTTTCCAGAGGGGGCCATGGATTAGATAGGTTATCTGAAGCAGATCCTGCTCTGCTTTGTTGGATGTCATAGTGATGCCACAGCCCTTCCACATTCAACTACTGCCAGCTGCAGCCTTCAGGGGGAGGTCCGTGCCCAAGGCTTGGAGGGGGACTTTGCCTCTCTGAGGCTTATCGCTTAGCATGGCTCTTTCTAACCTCTCTCTCTGTAGAGAGAAGAGGGAGGCTGAAGGTCAGGGAGGAGCCAGAAACATATTCATGTCTAGTGTATTCATCTTCCTGAGGCCATGAGATGAGACATGTGATTACACATGTGCAACAATATTTTGATGGAGGCTGCATTTGTGACCTGTGTGGTGTTGTGGCCCCTCCAGGAATGCTGGGCACCAGGGCCCCTGAACATCAGCTCTTCCCTGTATCTTGGTTACCATATAGACAGAAAGGTAAAACATATTTATTCAGCACTAAATAATACCAGGGGTTGCCTAATGTGGAAAGAGCAGGTGCATACCTCCTTCTATCATTCCCTAACTATGTCATATCAGGAAAGTGACCCAGACCCTTAAAGCCTCCTCTGAAAAAAGTGGGGGCACAAATAAGGTAGACCAGGTAAATCACATAAAGCCTGAACCACGGAACAACTTTTCTTCCTTTTTGGCAGAAAGTAGGGCAGGCAAGTGCTTTGAGACTTCCCCTTTGGTAAATTCCTGCTGGGGATTAACTATTAATCCTTCTCCCCTTGAGTCCAAAGATCAGTGCTAGAAACAAAGTTGCAATCTCCACAGTCTCCCATCGAAGCTGTGATCTCAGTGACACCTCATGCCCAGAGTTTGGGCGGGTCACTGGGTGGTGACTGTCTCCTGGATTCCCAGTGCAGTGGGAGAGACTGACTGTAGTCTACTGGGAAGGGAGAAATGCTATGAGTGAGGGTAGAAAGAGAGCCTGGGGCTCCAGAACTGTAAAAGATGGACAAGAGACATGGGCCAGAGACCCTCAACATAGCTTTATTAGTGTCCCAAGTCAACAATAATCTTTCTGATTAGATGTGCCCAAGAGAAAGGGAGACATTGCAACAGGGCCCGAAGGTGGGTGTTGAGACACACACAGAGCCCGAGTTACTCCATAGGTAACTCAGATGACAGCCCCACACTCTTGCCAGTGGCCTTGCTGCTTCCCATCCCACTTTAGCCACTGCTCTTGGCAGAGCAGAGAGAGTTTCCATGACCATCTGGAGACACTGGCAGGGGCTGACCCATCGGATCCACACACCAGCAAGGACCACGACGATTTCCCTGAGAAGAACGACACTGAGGAGAGAGGCACACAGATCAGGACTGAGGTTAGAGGCCTCCAGCAGGAGGAGCATCTGAGAGTTCTCTCAGTTCCCTCGCCACGGCCCCCACTCTTTACCTACTAAATTGGGCCCACTGTGTTGGGCCAAAACAGTAGGTTTCAAAATGTAATTCCTAATCAATAGTACCAGCATCACTAATTTGTTAGAAATTTGTGTTCTCAACCCCTCAGTCCTACTGAGTCAGAAAGTCTTCAAATAGGGCTCAGCCAGCCAGTGCTCATAAGCCTCTAGATGATGATGAGGGTTCTAGCTTGAGAGGCTGGAGGTTGAATCCAGCCCTTGCTCATGCTAAGCAAACATTTTACCACTGAACTAAAGCCCTAGTTCTTTTTGTGTTGCTTTTTAATTCTTTCTTTCTTTCTTTCTTTCTTTCTCTTTCTTTCTTTCTTTCTTTCTTTCTTTCTTCTTTCTTTCTTCT